TGCTCACGTTTATGTTCTGAATGGTATTGCCTAGGTTTTCTTCTAGCGTTTTTATGGTTTTAGGTCTTACATTTAAGTCTTTAATTCATCTTGAGTTAATTTTTGTATAAGGTGTAAGGAAGGGGTCCGGTTTCAGTTTTCTACCTACAGCTACCCACTTTTTCCCAAACGATTTATTAAATAGGGAATCCTTTCCCCATTGCTTTTATCAGGTTTGTCAAAGATCAGATGGTTGTAGATGTGTGGCATTATTTCTGAGGACTCTGTTCTGTTCCATTGGTCTCTATATATGTTTTGATACCAGTACCATGCTGTTTTGGTTACTGTAGCCTTATAGTATAGTTTGAAGTCAGGTAGCATGATGCCTCCAGCTTTGTTATTTTTGCTTAGGATTGTCTTGGCCATATGGGCTTTTTTTTGGTTCCATATGAAATTTAAAGTAGTGTTTACTAATTCTGTGAAGAAAGTCAATGATAGTTTGATGGGGATAGCATTGAATCTATAAATTACTTTGGGCAGTATGGCCATTATCATGATATTGATTCTTCCTATCCATGAGCATGGAATGTTTTTTCCATTTGTTTGTGTCCTCTCTGATTTCCTTGAGCAGTGATTTGTAGTTCTCCTTGAAGAGGTCCTTCACATCCCTTGTAAATTGTATTCCTAGGTATTTTATTCTCTTTGTAGCAATTGTGAGTGGGAGTTCTGTCATGATTTGGCTCTCTGTTTGCCTGCTATTGTTGTATAGGAATGCTTGTGATTTTTGCACATTTATTTTGTATCCTGAGATTTTGCTGAAGTTGCTTATCAGCTTAAGGAGATTTTGGGCTGAGACAATGGGGTTTTCTAAATATAGTATCATGTCATCTGCAAACAGAGACAATTTGACTTCCTCTCTCCCTATTTGGATACCCTTTATTTATTTCTCTTGCCTGATTGCCCTGGCCAGAACTTCCAATACTATGTGGAATAGGAGTGGTGAGAGAGGGCATCCTTGTCTTGTGCTGGTTTTCAAAGGCAATGCTTCCAGCGTTTGCCCATTCAGTATGATATTGGTTGCGGGATTGTCATAAATAGTGAGGAAGAGCTTTTTCAAGTATAACACAGGAAGCTATACAAGATAAGACCAGCAAACTGTACTATGTAAAAGTATTTAAAATTTTTTACATATTAATATACATCAAAAACAAAGTCAAAAGATAAATTAGAAACTTGGAAAAATATTTGCAACTCAAGTCACAAAAGATAATATATATCAGTATATGCAAATTCTACAAACAAAAACAAATGACCAAGAACACAATAGAAAAATAGGCAAATTATATCTTCAGAGAGTTCATGGAAAAGAAAATACAAATGGGTGGAGCATACTAAAGACACACAAAATTTCATCTAAAAGAAAACAAATACAAATTAGCACTTTACCGAGATACCACTTTTTGCCTACAAGTGTCAAAAGTCAAAAAGTGTTGGCCAGCATCTAGAGATAGGCATTTTCACATGGTATAATATGAAAGAACCTTTGTGAAAGGCAATTTGCAGAACACACACACATATATCCAACTGTTTGATTCAACTTTTCTACTTTTAAGAATTTATAATGGAAAGGTAAAATGACACATGAAAAAGTTAATTGAAGTATTGCTTAAGATATAAAAAGTATGAAAACAATCTAAATGTCTATTGGTAGGGAGGCTGGCTAAATACAGTCATACAATGATATAATATGTGACTGTATAAAAAGAACAGGACAGTTCTCTATGAACTGATGCCATGGTGGCTCATGCCTATAATCCCAGCACTTTGGGAGGCCGAGGCAGGCGGATCACAGGGTCAGGAGATCGAGACCATCCTGGCTAATATGGTGAAACCGTGTCTCTGCTAAAAATACAAAAATTAGCTGGGCATGGTCACGTGTGCCTGTAATCTCAGCTACTCAGGAGGTTGAGGCAGGAGAATTGCTTGAACCAGGAAGTCGGAGGTTACAGTGAGCCTAGATCATGCCACTGCACTCCAGCCTGGTGACAGAGCAAGACTCCATTTCAAAAAAACAAACAAACAAAAAATCAAAGTACAGATTAGTGAATACAGTATTCTACTAGTTGCATAAAAGACAGGAAGAATATATTATAAAATAGAGAAGAATGTATTATATATATGTATATGCACATATATGTATACCTATATATGTGCATATACATATATATAATACATTCTTCTCTCCTTGCTTGATAAGCAAAAGATTATCAAGTTACTCGTTTGATAAGCACAAAACATCTCCTGAAGTATACCAAAAACCTTGAAAGTTTGTATAAGAATAACTGACTCTAGGAAAACTGGATGCCTGAGAGAAGGAGGTAGGAGAGACTTTGCCCTGTTATGCTCTTTTGTAAGGATTGAATTCTGAGCTGTATGAACAATTACAAGTCAAAAAATAAAATACAGAAGTTATTTCCTATCTATAACATCATCCCCCACTTCTGCCCTCGGTTATTTTTCCCTATCACCAATGAGTAGTATAGAGTCAAACTCCTCAGTATACTTCTCTATAAACAGAACCCAGGCACAAGTCTATTTACAAAGCCGGGTTAATGAAACCACTATATAAACTCAGTTTGAAGAAAAAGTCCATTGAGTCTCCAAGATGGAGAAACTGTGAGCTGTGAGCCTCAACAACACCACATTCAGAGTTTAGAAATGAAAGGAAGCAGAGATATGGGATTAAAGTTAATGATAGTCTAGGATCCGTTAGGGTTGTATTTTTTAGTAACAAGAACATTCCTGGGATTTTGAAGTCAGGAAAAATATTCAGTGAATGTAAAAAAAAAAAAAAAAAGTCTGCATTATCAACAAATTAGCCCCAAAGTGATTAAGTGTGAGACTCCAAGTACCCCAAGAACTAAAACTGACAGAGTTTTAAGGTTCACTGGTGTCTTTTAAGAGGCAAAGATAGACCAGGAGGGAGCAAAAGAAGGAATTAAGAATTTTCCTTTCTTTCAGAGCCTATTCTTTTCTTACTAAACAAATTAACCAATTTTCTACAGAAGTAGTGCTCTCAAAATTCTTCCTCATGAACTGAATCTCAGGGTTCACTAAATTGAAAAGTATTTCTGGCTAAAAATGCATCAACTGTACAACACAAAGGATTAAAATTAAAATTATGGAAAGTTGTCTTTGAAGGGATAAGGGTGAAAGTGGTCTGTAAATTTAACTAAGGACAGCAGTGGCTAACCCTATTCTTTCTACACAAAGAACCATCACTGATGAGTTTGCCCTCACACTGGTTAGATACCACAGCAAACTTCCTAGTAAAAATAGAAAATTGATTGTAAACCAGAACATGTAGAAGTGAAAGAGACCTTGGGCAGATTTCCTAAAAATACTGCCAAGGAAACTGAGACCAAGAAAATTGCCCAAAGTGACCCAGGTGATTAATGGTAGCGCTAGATCTGCTTGGTCTTCTGTTTACTTTTGCCTTTAAATATTTTAAAGGACACTGATTACCATTTATCTGGAACGGATCTCAAAGCCTTGCAAGGAGGCGGGGGGGCGGGGGGGGCTTACTTAGGGAAGACTTCCTTTCTCCCATAGATTTAACTCCTTTGTAAGTACAATTCATTTGTTATGTGCATATATGACTATATTTGGAAAGAAGTAGTATTTATGGTGCTGAAGAGATATTCAGCATCATATCAAGATGATCAAAAAATATCAAGTTATGCCAAACACTGGGGCCACTCCCTACACTGAAATGTTTCCAATTGCTTCCAAATTCTGTGATAAAAATCAAGGACTCAAAAGTCAAGAAACAGATCCACTGTTTCTGAAATGTGTTTTGTCAACTCTCTTTGCGCCCTGTGGGCCAGTCTCAGGACTGGATTTTCTTATCTATGAAATGGGACCAATGACCTCAACTCAGATTTACTTGGGTGTTCTCAGGCATGCATCAAAGGCACACTGCTGAAATTCTTAGCACATAAATACCACTATGTAATAGTGAGTCTGTAAAATAGTTAAGAATAGGCAATAATAGAATAGTTAATAAATATGAGTACTGCAATATTCTTTTTATATGACTGTCTTTTAAGTCATCAAATTTCTGAACATCTTCTGAAACTGAAGGAATAGAAAAGGGAATTTAGTATAAAATGCTATCATAATAATATGGTAACTGTGGGCATATCTATAGACATTCATACTGCCAACGGTTAGTGGCATAAATTCTTATCTTTTGCTTAAGGAATACATACATTTTTTCCTACAATAGTGAATGCAGGACAGATTTCACTAGAATGAAATTGGATGGCATCAAGTCTATTTAATGTAACACTTTGTTAAACAGAATATTTTCCCCAAACCCAGAGCACCTAAAAGTTTAATTCAGGAGACTTTGGAAATGGGAGGAGGATTAAGAATGAAAAATACTTTAGTGGGAAGTGAACTTTTAAAAATTATTTTTAAAGAATCAAGGCCCCAACTTCTTGAGTACTTCAGGCAATGGATCACAGGTTTTTGTTAGTTTTATTGGAGGAGAAACAAAGTAAATAACAGTTCTGAGGATGAGCGAAAGCTATCCGGAATACCCATCTCACTCCTCAAAGTGGGGGCGCATTTTATGAATAATTTCAGCCGGCTACCATACCTTCCTGCAAAACATGGACAAGATGTAAGTTAAAAAGTGGCAGAGGTGTGGCATATTGCACAACTTTAAAGGAGTCATCAGTCCTTCAGTCAGATCCCCCTGCAGAAAGGTTGGCGCTGCCATTGGAACTGACCTTAGAGCTCTGGAGAGGACTCCTTGGGGGTGAACAGCCGGGTTCTGGGACCCAGCAAGGTCAGGGGGCGTCTGCATCCCAGCTACTCTTTATCCCTCGCACTTTGGAAAGCCCGAAGAGGATTCCCCCCGAGTTAGGCGAGCTGTTGGCTGGTCAACGTTCTTTAGGACCTCAGGGAAACCGGGGCGTTTCTGGCTTTAGGACCCAGGAACTGCAAGGCAGCCTAGACTTAGATGCCTTGGACCACAGCACCACCTACTTATAGAAGCATCCCGAGCCTCAGCCAGTCTGCATCTCCATCGGAAAGTGCGCTAGCCACATCCCTTCGGATCACTTCGTCCTCCCGGGAGCGTTCTGCTTTCTACACCTCGGAAAGAACGAAATCTTAGCTGTGAAGTGAGCGTGGAGAAAGCGCAGGAAGCGACACAATTGGTTAGGGACGTAGAGAGTGAGAGCCGGCGCACCCCTAGCCCGGGGACCGCGCTCGCGGGCGGGGACGGAGCATCCCAGGGGCTGCACCCGCTGCTCCGCGCTTCTGCCCGGCGCCGCCAACACCGTGGCGGCCGCTGGAATCCCGGAGCTGCCAGGCGCTCCCGGCCCGTCTCGGCAAACTTTTCCCCAGCCCACGTGCTAACCAAGCGGCTCGCTTCCCGAGCCCGGCATGGAGCACCGAGCCTAGGGAGGCCGCGCCGCCCGAGACGTGCGCACGGTAGGCAACCCACCCCAAGGCAGCCGCAGCCGCGGCGCTTGGGTACCCTGCCGTGGATTCCAAATGGCCTAAGAGGGTTCTTTTAGCCCTGCACTCTCAGTGTCTTTGGAGCTCTTTCCTTTCCTCGGAGCGCCGGCACAACGCCCTATGCCCCCGGGTTGGAGCTTAGGGCTCGGCAGAGGTTGCTAATTCACTGATTGTAATCACCTTCCTCTCCAACTAGTCCGCAGCTGCCCGCTCTGGATTAAGCCGCTCCGCGGCTCGTGCTAGGCAGTGGGTTCGCTTCCTCCTTCCCTCTCTTCTTTAAATTGGGACGCGCGAAGGCGCAGCTGCCTCTCCGGGGCTCTCTCCATCCCCCACACACCCTGTTTTCGCTTCCCTCATCTCTCAGGTTCGTGGCGGAGAGATGCTGATCGCGCTGAACTGACCGGTGCGGCCCGGGGGTGAGTGGCGAGTCTGCCTCTGAGTCCTCCCCAGCAGCGCGGTCGGCGCCGGCTCTTTGGGCTAGCCCTCCAGTTCCTAGACTTTGAGAGGCGTCTCTCCCCCGCCCGACCGTCCAGATGCAGTTTCGCCTTTTCTCCTTTGCCCTCATCATTCTGAACTGCATGGATTACAGCCACTGCCAAGGCAACCGATGGAGACGCAGTAAGCGAGGTGGGTCTCTCTCTGCCAAAGGTGTGTGGGCTTCAGGGGTGGCTTGTGGCGGTGCTCACTCACGCCCTGGCTCCAGGGACTCAGATGGGCAGGGCTGTGCTCTCCACCCCAGCTTTTGCGGGTCCCCACTCCCCACCTTTAGGACCCTGGAGCTCTACAGAACACTCCGTGTTTCTGTACCCTGGAGGAGCAGGGAGCCGGGGCGAGACGCGCTGGGAGCTGGGCGAGCTGGGCGCCACTCGGGCGCTCAGGGCCAAGTAGTGCGGTCCGCACTCACGTTCGCTGCCCCACCTCCTCACCTGAACTTGTCTCTTCAGAACGTATTTCTTATTTGGCATGCATTTTTTTTTTTTTTTTTTGGTCGTTGTTCTCTCTGTCCTCTTAAACATCTTCCCTGTAGCACATTTGTTTTACCTTCCCCATCCACGTGCGCCCCAAACCCGGCCTCAGATCTCTTTGGACTTGACCTAGCACAGTGTGTGTGTGTGGTGTGTGGGTGTGCCCACGCGTGTGTCTGTATTCCGGAGCTTGGGGAGGGGTACCAAGTCGAGGGGGAGGACCTCCATTTCCAGAAAAAGGCAAACATAGATCTTTTTTCTGGAACCTGCGACGAGATGGGAACTTTCTGAATTGAGCAGCTATTCCCGCGCTGGTTTTCTGGGGAGTCCTCGCCTGCAGAGGTTTGTTTTTAAAACAGGCCCCACTTTGCTCTCTCCATATGCTTTGCAAAAGCAGCTACACCGGTGGAGGCTTCTGTTCTCAATGAAATTCACTTGCGGCTTTTTAACTGCTCCCTCCCTCTCCATCACTTGTGCATAGCGGAGAAGGCGGGTGGAAGCCTCCAGAAAGGTTTCTGGGAACTCGCTTTCCTGCAGATTTAGTGCATATTTCTGTCTCGGAGTCTGCTGGAGATGCAACTAATCCAAGTGCATTTTAGAAGAAGGGCGGCTAGACACGATTCAATTTTCTGGGGGGATTTAAACATAAACCACCCACCACACGCATCGAATTACCCGCGCAGGAAGGGTACGCAGCAGCCGCTTCCCAGGGACCTGGTGAGAGCTGTCTATTTTCATCCGGCACTTTGCCACTTTGGACTTTTGCGCAATTAGAATTTGTCACTGGGTTCATGAATCTTGACTTTCTCTTCTTCTCCAAAATGTAAACGTCTCACTGGACCTGTGACGTGATTTGTTTATAACTCATTGTATGTAAACTCCGGTCCTGCATCCAGATTTTAGGGAGGACTTTCCGAACCTTAGTTTTTTGATGGCTTTTTAGGACATTGTTAAGCTGTTCTCACCTAGGGGTAGAGCTAGAGATTGGCCCACCTGAGCGCAGAGCTCCAAATAACTGATGGTGTGCGACTTCTGTAGTCCCTGCGCTTCAACTGTCTCTGTATCTGCGGCTGGTAAGGATAAACCCCCTCCAACTTCTCTCCCTCCCTCTCCCCCGATTTCTGACTTTTGGAAATTGTTTACTTTCAGAAATTATTTTACTTAAAAATACTAGAAATTTCTTCCCAAAGGCCATGAGAGTTTGATATTGATACTTGCCTTGAAAAAGCCCCTTTTCATCTCCTCTCTTCTCCCCTCCTAACTGATTCCTTTCTCAATCCCAGTACTTTCTTTCGAGTATTCGGCAGAGCCAGCAATTTTTGATTACACTATGGTCAAAAGTGTTTGGAGAGGCTTTTCCTCTTTTTATAAGTCAAAGCTGCAGTCTACTTAGAAAAACTAAAGTGCTTGATGTCTGCAAAATATAGAAATATCTAAAATCCTTTGCTAGATCCTTATTAGATGACTTACTAATTCAGTGATAGCTTTCTGATCCACACTGCCTGTCCCATTGTGGTTGAGTGGGGAAGAACTAAGCATATTGTTTTAGTAGAACTTAATGCAGAGATGCTGTTTGGTGGAAAAGGACATTACAGCACTCCTGCGGCCAGAAGGGATACTGCATGCCTTCTCTGCAGTGCCATCTCTAAGAATCTTCCTATGCCTTCTAAGGTATCTGAAGCAGAACCTATTTATCTCAAATAGCAGAATCTTTTGTAACGATTACCATCCACATCCCAAAGCACTGACATTCTAACTCTAAACTGTGCAGTAGTAGCTTGTGCCAAATCAACCTTTCAATTTAATAAAATTCAAATGCTTTCAAGAACGTGTAAATTGGTAAGGGTGTAAAAAAACTATCAAAGTTGTTGTTTTTTTTTTCTTCTTCTTCTTTTCAACAGATGTCCCTTTACAAATCCCAAGTTTCTGGTTAAAATAACTGTGGTCCTTAAAAGTGACCACACTATCTGTACCAACAAAGGGTGTACTGTGTTTTTAATTAAAAGTGGAACTACTTAAAGGGCTGGCCAGACAGTGTAGGGTGATAGTAGCTTTTCTGCTTTGCAAGGAAGCTTAAGGATTGCATTGTGAGAGTATTGAAATGAATAGAGATCTAACTCAAGTTGTGTGAATTGTCCCTCTTCACAAACTTAAGCTGGTTTTAATTGATCTCATGTCCACTGATTGATCCTACACCAATTGTTGGGCATACCAAACAATTGGCTTTCCCCAAAAAAGATTGATTTCAATTAGTTCCTCAGTGAATGCTTGACTACTGGCCAAATCATGTCAGCAGTGACAGTTGACATGTTAGGGCCTATGTGGTACCAACATTTCCCTTTCTCCCCTTTGTTTTGGATAGTGTCACTTAAGTATTATTTTCCAGGAAGAAAAGTAATTGGTATTTTTTTAAAAAGGTGTTGTAGCTTGGAAGATTAGTTATTTTCTTGGCTTTTGTGCTACAAGGTAGGTGGCAGTGGTACCAGGATTGGTTAGGCTTACCCCTGGGACCTGATTCTTTTTTTTTTTTTTTTCCATATTCCATCTGCAAATAATCAAACCTTCGGTGTGGAGCATTCTCCCAACTCCTTTGGCATTATGTTTAGTCTGCACTATGATCTCACATGCTCCATAATATCATTTTCTTAATGAAATAAAATTCTTGGCAGAGATTAGATAATTTAGTCAGTTAAAATCAATTGCATCCAGTTTGGAATGGAGAGCAAATATATCATTTAACGGTATATTTCATTTCAGAATATAGCCAGAAGATTGAGAAAATAGAATTTTGACCTTCTCTACTTTTGGACAAAACTTCAAATGGGGGAGATCATCACGAACAATAACAGTACTCACCTACCATATTTTCTTCCCCTTATTTTGAAAAATTATAAAAATGCATTTGATAGTCACTAATGGGGCCTGGTTGCAATAATTTTTAAAAGTTAGACACAAATGCAATACAATACTGACAATATCTTTTAGAGAGAGGGAGACACATGCCAACATTTTGTAAAGCTTATTGACAACCCTTATTTTCCTCTCCATGTAACATATTAAGATTTGTCTCCCTGACTCCCCCTTCAAAATAGTCATGATTGGTTATTGTTAACCCCTACTGTCTCTCTTGGTCTGGAGACCACTTATGATTGATTTATATGGTAAGTGGAGTTATTTGATTACTTTCATTTTTTGGAATGGTCGTAAGCCACATTTCAGGCTGAATTACTAAAAGGTGGATAGACAAATCATAACTTTATTGTGGTCTCCTGGAATTTCTCAAGCATGGCATGTAATGACTTAATCTTATATCTCCCTCATTCTATTTTTATACCTTGTGATATTTCAACCAGGGATTTATGAAAACTTCTTGATAAAATTCTCAATGCAGCAAGGTTTCTAAATGTATAATTCATGTTTCTGGTGGTCTGATGGCAGGGGCGTGCTATGACAAGTGTTTCCTGCTGTAGCCTTTTCCACATTGAATCCTCAGCTTCTCCCTCCTCTAATAACTCCTCATTTCACAAAATTAGACTTAGCTTCTTCCACAAAAAGGAATGGTTTATCACAAATAGTGTGGCATGTTTCTGGTAACGGAGGCTGGAAAAAGTAAACATTTTCTCTTAAACGTTATAGAGTTAAATTAATTTATGTTTGTGTTCTTAAAAATTTATTGACGAGATTGGAAGATTTTTTTTTTTTTTTACAAGTACTTCTTAAATAGTTTACTTTTCCTGAAACTCTTTCAAAATACAAAATGACACATGGAACATGCTAACCTACAGTTAAATGAAAAAGTTTCAAAACACATTTTGTATGCTTGCTGACTTTAAGTTCCAAAGTATTTCAGAAAAGCTGATGTGATGTTTAACTTTGCAAAATAAACATGTTCTTTCTTTTCTTTTCTCTATTTTGATTGGCTGCTTTGTCTTCCAACATAACTGCATAATTTTTTAAGGCAGGGTCTTACTGGTACAGAGAGGTCAGAAAGTTGCTGTGCTCAAACACACACCTTATTTAGCCACAGAAATTTGGAAGTGATTCAGAATAGGTGACATTCCCCTAGGCCCTGGGCTTTCTTTATTTGCTTTTAAAACCCAGCTTGGGTAGAATCCAATATTCACAGAAATCACAAGTTGGAAATGACACTTCTAGTTCCTTAATGCAAAGCCACCTCTTGATTTATTTAGAGACAAACTGGCCAGTTTGTGGAATATCCAGCGTAGTTCTTTCCTTCCAACTTACTGACTACCTTTAAACTATTTCTTTTGGAAATACATATCCTTATCCATCCCAAGGGCAGGAAATAGGGGACAGACAGATTTTATTTGATATAAGCTTGATAACTATGATAAAAGGAGGTGATAGACTTTGGGATGACAAAGTTTTAAAATTTCAGTATTTAAGATACCATGAAGCTTATTTTTTCTCCATTAACTGCAGCAATCAAGGGCTGATCAGGTGAAGACAATGTTGTATATCTATATTTATACATTTTCATGTGTTCATCCAGAATAAGTAGAAAACATGCTAATTAATACTAAAGTGTATACGTAATGTATATTATACATATTAGGGAAGGTATATATGCATACCTGTATATATGGGTGTGTGTGTAGGGAAAGCGACGAGGATGGTATAATTATGGAGGATCGGGATTTC